ATAAATTTATGTATACCCGCATTCGTCTGTAATTTATATAATTGCTCAATCAATGTAAACCTGTATGACGATTTTACTAAATGAATTATCTATCTATCTACAGCATCTATGTATCAACAGCATCCATCTATCTACTTCATCTATATCTATCTATTCCCATTCACAGTATCTATGCATCGACAGCATTCATTCATTCATTCATCTATCTATCATATCTGTCTATTCATTCATCTATCTATCTGTCTATCCATCTATCTATCTATCTATCTATCTATCTATCTTTGTCTTATTCATTCATTCATCTATCTATCTATCGATTGCATTCATCTATCTATTCATCCCGGCGGCCTGATTATGTGGGTAGGCCCGTGTTACCCACCAACACTGGTATTGCACCAACGTCTATAATCCCCAAGGTCTATAGGCACCAAAGGGGAGGCATCAGATAAGAAAATCAGAGCAATTGTAAGGAGGCACCGATATAATCAAAGTGGAAGCAATCAGTATGATAAGCACCGAAGTAGCCAATCAAAGTGATAACTGAGGATGAGCTGACCCAGATGTCAACCTGGATATATGCCAACCGTGTTTTGTCAATCAAAGGATAAAACCTTGTTTCACCCAAAGACAACTGAGATGTTGATGTCCCAAAATAGCCAACTGATATGATACAACCGATGTGCCACCCTGATGCTGAATCAAAGAGCCAAAGGAGTGATGCGATACAAATCAGATGTTTCACCTTGCTGAGCACCGATGTTGGAGTGTTGATAAGAAGCACCTAGATAGAGGCATCAAAGAAGCACTGGGGGTGAGGGCACCAGGATAAGAGTGCAATCAAAGCACTCCATATGAGATAAAAAGCACCTGATATGAGGCATCAAATCAAGAGGCACCAGATAAGATATAATCAGTAAATAATCGATAAGTGAGATATAATCAGATGCACACCCGATATGATAATCACCAAAAGCATATGAACTAGTGATGTTGATAAACCTAAGCCAATCGATATGATGCAACCGATGTCAAAATATGCTATATAAACTGCATGTTGATAACTGTGATAAATCAAATATGCACCGATGCTGTGCCACCGTATGAGGCACCGATGTGAGCACCGTGTGCCCGAGGTAGGTACTTGGGAGGTGGGGCTGGGGTAGGTACTGAGGTAGGGGTACTGGGAGGTAGGGATACTGGGGGAGTGAGGGGTACTGGGAGGTGGGGTACTGGGAGGAGGTACTGGGAGGTAGGGTACTGGGGAGGTGGTGGGCACTCAGGAGGACTGAGATAGTGGTGGGTACTGGGAGGTGGTGGGCACTGGGGAGTGAGGCACTGGGAGTGCAGGCACTAAAGTGAGCAGGCACTGGGATATGGTGGCACCAGACGAGGCACTGATAAGTAGGCACTGGAGGTAAGTAAGCACTGGGGGATTATACTGGGAGGTGGGCACTCCCAATCTCTCACACTCTTCCTCCTCCTCACATCCCACTCTTCACATCCCTCCCACCCCATCCTGTAACAGAACAAGAGACTAACAAACGGAAGTTTATCTCTCTCTCTCTCTCCCAACCCTCAGTCACGTAACAAACTTAACCTCTGGCTTTTTTTTTGGGGGATATATATATATATACATATACATACGTGACGTGACACCTACTGACGGTATCTGAGCTCTCACGTCCTCAGTAAGACAGCTTAATGACCGTCTAAGGATAAGGAAATGTGGTTAGTTAATAGAAGCCCTGTGCTTTTTTTCATCTCCACGCCGCCAGTGTCACGTATTACTGCAAGGTTGTAGATGAGGGATTGGCAGTAGATAGGATTGGTAGATAGGGATTGGTAGATAGGATTACTTGTATAGATTGCGAAACAGGGGATTGGCAGATGGGATGGCAGGGACTTGGTAGACAGGGATTGCAACAGGATCAAGCAGACAGGGATTGGCAGACAGACTGGCAAAATATGTTAAGACAGACTAGTGGAGACTGGCAGATTATGATCATAAGGATGGTGACTGGTGACTGGCAGATGGTGATCAAAAACAGGACTGGCAAATGGTAGACTGGCAAACAGACTGGTAAACAGATCATGTATTGGTGATCAAGACAGGATCAAGTGATGAGACTGCAAGATGTGATCAAGATTATGACTGGCAAGACAGATCAAGGTTGTGATCAAGATTGTGACTGGCAGATGGTGATCAAGCAGATTGCACCTGTCAGGACTGGGATGAGACCTGGCAAACAGTGACTGCAGACAGACTGGCAAACAGTGACTGCAAGATTGTGACTGCTATTGTGACTGGGCAGACAGGATTGGCAGACAGGATTGCAGACAGGACTTGCAGACAGGATTGGCAGACTGGCAGACAGGACACTAAACAGGACTGGCAGACAGGATCGGTAGACAGACTGGCAACAGGATCAAGTAGACAGGACTGGCAGACAGACTGGCATAGTGACTGGCAGACAGGATCAAGTAAACAGACTGCAGACAGGACTGGCAGACAGACTGGGCAAACAGGATCACAGACAGTGACTAAGTAGACAGGATCATAAGACAGTGACTTGGCAACAGGATTGGCAGATAGGATCACGACAGATCATAAACAAGCAATAGCAAGTAACAAGAACATCTCAGAATGTCACCATATTATCACTTCCTACTCAACATTAATTTATTTTATTTATTTTTCTTTACATTTATTATGAGTATATACACACTTCAAAGTGGAGCTATATACATAAATATGATAAGGAGAGGGAAACAATACAACACGAACATATTATGTGAAACAAGAGGACACAGCTGTTAGTATCTAGTCGGCAACTTTAATTATTACAAAAGTAGTTTCTGACTATCAACATGACGATTTAATAATGGTTTGGTGGTACAATAAAAACAGGATATTAAGTAGGAATTACAAGATTATTAATACTTAGACAATATTTTTAAAGGTTTAATGCTGTTGTGTGTGTGTGTGTGTGTGTGTGTGTGTGTATGTGTGTGTTGGTGTATTGACCCCACAATACACACCCCCATCCACCCCCCAACCAACACCTGTATTCTCACGCCTCATGACAAACTCCTCCATACCCCCACCCCCTCCCCCCCTCCCCGAATCGGTAATGAGGTCATGATACGACCCGTCACAAGAGCTGAACTCACCTCCATCCAGAAAAGCTCCTCATAAGATGCCTGGGAGATGGTAGACAGAAATTTAAGATCTTTATAATGGCAAAAAATATTACCAGGAAAATACGAAATAATAATAATAATATTATTATGGTGATGATGATGATGGTGATGGTGATGGTGATGATGATGATGATATGTGATGATGGTGATGGTGATGATGGTGATGATGATGGTGATGTGGTGATGATGGTGATGATGATGGTGATGATGATGGTGATGATGATGGTGATATGGTGATGGGATGGTGATGGTGAGATGATGATGATGAGATGATGGTGATGGTGATGATGATGGTGATGATGATGGCGGATGGTGATGGTGATGGTGATGATGATGATGATGATGATGTTGATAATGATGATGATAATTCATGAGATAAATGTGTTATATCACTTGGCTCCTCCTCTTCATCCTCCTCCTCCTCCTCCTCCTCCCTTCCACTCCTTTTCCTCTCCTCCTCCTCCCTCCTCCTTCTCCCTCCCCTCTTGACCACTGAGGGACAAGAGGTGTTAACAGTCAAAACTGACGCCTTTTCCCTCCCCCTCCTCCCTCCTCCTCCCTCTACCCTCTTCCTCTCGTTTCCTTCTCCCCCCTCTCAATTTCTTTCCCTCCCTCTCCCCCTCGCCTTCCTTCCTCTTCCATCCCTCCTTTCTTCTCTCCTTTCCACTCACCTCCCTCTACTCTCCTCTTCCCTCGCCTTATCGCCTTTTTCACCCTCCTCCCCTCCTCCTTCCTTCTCCTCCTTCCTTCCTTCCTTCCTTCCTTCCTTCCCACCATTTCCTTCACCCATTTGTCACACCTGTCCACCACTACAAGTAACACGACGTAGCTTGACCTCCTCGCTTGACCTGACCTGACATGCCCTACACACGCCACCGGAAAAAGGTCAGGTCAGACACTTTTACCCAACCCAGTCTCCGTTTTCTTTGTACTGCCTCCTGAAGGGTTTTTAAAATGAAAACGATTACTGAGTTCCCATCATGAGGGGCTTGGGTGTAAACAGGAATTAGTCTAGTGTTTACCTGAGGTTTAGTTTTACACGATAAACACAAACAATTAAGGTTTTTTTCCCGTACTTGTTTACCGGATGTGATCACGTGAAGTTTAGGAACCCGACTTGTTTTCCCCCGTGAGTAAGTTTCCTAACCTATCCTAGCCTGACCTAACCTAACCTAACTTAACTTAATCTAACCTAACTTAAATTAATCCAACTTAACCAACTCTCTCTCTCTCTCTCTCTCTCATCGTTTCCCAGCAGCGTTGATGTGCTCCCTCCTCCTCCCCCTCTCTCTTCTTCCCTCTCCTTTCCCCCACCACTCCTTCCCCTCTTCCTCCTCCCCTTCTTCTTCCCCCTCTTCCCCCACACACCTTCCCCCCCTCCTCCCCCCCTTCCCTCCCCTCCCCCCACACACCCTTCCCCTCTTCCTCCCCCTCCCCTCTCCCCTTCCTTCCCCACACACCTTCCCCTTCCCTCCCTCCCTCTTCTTCTTCCCTCTCTTCCTTCCCCCACACACCTTCCCTCTTCCTCCCTCTTCTTCTTCTTTCCTTTCTTCCTTCCCCCACACACTCTTCCCCTCTTCTCCTCCCTCTTCTTCTTCTCCTCTCTTCCTTCCCCCACACACTCTTCCCCCTCTTCCTCCTCCCTCTTCCTCTCTTCCTTCCCCCACACACCCCTTCCCTCTTCCTCCTCTTCTTCTTTCTCTCTTCCTTCCCCCACACACCCCCCTCCTCCTCCTCCTCCTTCCTCTCCTGATCTGTTCCTCAACCCCTACACGTCAAGAACATCAACTAATCCGACG